AGCTGCCTTTTTCCCATTTTTATCATTTTGAAACAAACATAAATGTGTTTCTTTTTTAAATTGCTCTTTACTCTTTAAATAATATACATCCCTTTATTCCAAAACCGCCACATCGTAACCGTTATTAGTGTAAATCAGTATTTCTTTTGTTTCATCACAAAACGATATATTTATTTTCTTCGTACAACAATTCTATATTTGCAGATATCCCAAAGTCTCCCAGAATAGAATTGTGTTTATATTTGATCCACTTCAGCCTGCGTTCGATATGAGATGATGTCAAATAGCCATTTAACTCAAACTCCACAGAACTCCTCTTCACATTACTGTCTCAAGCAAATGTAAGATTATTGTTAGGAGAATAATGTCATGCACTCAGCACTAATGAACCATTTTCCCACAAGGGTTATTCCATCAAACTTTATTGTGTTTCAAAACACATATTAAACAATACGATACAGAACAGAGATTTCATGATTTGGTGCACTTCAACTGTCAAGTCAAAAGTTAGAAAAAACATGATTTTACATTCACACAATGGATTTCATCAAAATACTGTGCACTGTAGCTCAACAAACAATCAAAGCCTTGACAAAATAAACACAACAAATAGACAACCAAACCCCACATACATGTAATTCTATGATAAACTTGGCTATTTACATGTCAAATAACGTATGTTTTTTTAGACTTTTATCTAATTGTCTAATGTGAGTTGTGCAGGTGTGAGTAGGCAGATGTCCATGCTGAAAGAGCTTCAAGGAGAGAACGTGGTGGTGGTCTCAGTCTCTGTGGCCCCTGAACTCCTCCTCCTGCCGTACTTATACCTGACGAACCTCGACTGGCTCATGCAACCCAATTCCTTCATTAGCTTCAGGAGGTCGTGACGAAACTTCACACCGATGAAGGCGTAGACGAAGGGGTTCAGGCAGCACCTCAGGAAGGCCACGCACTGGGTCACATCGGTTGCGTAGAGGAGATTGTTCTCAAATTCACAGTCAACCGCTCCTCCTTGTGCTGTGACCACTGTGTTCAAAAATAAAACCAGGTTATAAGGTACTTGGCAGACCAGGAAGACGGCCACCACGGCGAGAATCACCTTGATGGCCCTATTGCGTTCAAAGCTCCGAGCCTTTGAAAGGGTCTGGATAATGCTGCTGTAACAGATGCTCATTATCAGGAGCGGGAGAGCAAAGGCCAAAACTATCTGGGTCGACTGGATGCTGACGCGCAGCTTGTCAGAGTTGCTGGAGTAAGGGGTGCAGGTTTTGTTATTGACGGTGGTGTACCTCATTTCTGGTATTGAAAAGATCAGTGCCATCACCCAGATGGCAGCTGATGACACCTTGCTGAGAAACACAGCCTTGGAGCGGTAGCGGTGAGCGGAGACGGCCTTGGCGATGACGAAGTAGCGCTCCACGCTAATGAAAGAGAGAATGAACATGCTGCTGTAGAAGCTGACCTTATAAATGGTGTGCATGGCTTTGCACACCAGCAGGCCCAGAACCCATTCTGCCATGGAGTTGGCTGCCCAAAAAGGGAGTGTCAGAGCAAAGAGAAGGTCCGCAAAGGACAGGTTGAGCAGGAACACATCCGTCATGGTCTTGAGACGCTTGAAGTAAAAGAAGGTGAGGACGACCAGGAGGTTCCCTGTCAGCCCCAGGAAGAAGATGATGGAGTAGAAGGTGGACATGAACCAACGGCGGAACTGGCGGTTGGATTCTTTCTCACAGTAGTTATTATATTCACTATAATCCATACTGAAGTTTCCAAAGTCCATAGTGAAGTTGTCATAGTCATAGTTCAGAGAGCTGTTTTTTTCTGGATGGCTGGTTGTGTTCTCTTCATGTTGAAACAGGCAACACTGTAATCGAAGACAAATGAACTGATCAGATAAAAGCAGGATGTATCAGAAAAGTTACACCAAAGGTTTTTGGTACACCTTCTCAACCACTTCCTAAGAGGAAATGGTGCTTCTGAGGGAAGGCCATGGTTAGTTACCTGCTGCTCTCCCCTATAAGTACGTATCAATTGCTACAAACATATACATATTTGTTTTGTTCATGTTAGCAACTGTAATAACAGGTGCAACGCTTTTGATCTTACCTTAAAATGCATTAACCATATCAGCAAAGCTGGCAGAAGGTTTGGAAGATCTGAAAAACAATATGTACATTTTTAGAAGGCCAAGTACTATAATAGTATGATGGATAATAGTATGATCATTATGTGTAATAGATGTTAATGTGAAGACGTTATTATTTTCTTAGACTGAATAAAGCTCCTCAACATTGTTATACGTTCTAATACGTTATACAATTGTTTTGATAGTGGCTGAGCAGAACTCCATATGGCTCAAATCTTTTAGGTTTGGTTGTGTTTCAGATCACTGGTGACATTGCTTTGCATATTGTTGGAAATAATAGGGTTCCTCTGCAACCAGTGGTAATGTTGTAGAAGCTCATTGAAAAAACGTAGTTCAGTATTTATATAAAAGATAAAGTTCCACATAAATGTCACTAACAGTAACTAATGGAAAATAAGACAAGATTTTCAATCATTCACAATTTTCAATCTATCTTAGTAACTGTTTATTTGATGTGATAATAATAAGCATGAGTTTAGTAGTGACATTGGTTGCCAGGTTGAGGCTTCTTCAAAAATAGTGTTGTCTGAAATGGCTACGTACGAACAGTAAACATTCTTGAAGTTCACCTCGTGCGACATGTCTGTGTTGCTGCACACCACCTTGTGTGGCTTGCTATTAGTCTGCTTTTTAAAAAAAGAACTATGACACGCTTAAACGATTATAGCATTGACACCACTTTCCATCATTTAACACATTGCCATGGTACATTTTGTTGATTGAACATATGTTTTGTAAGACTATAACTAACAATCATTCATTTTGTACGAGATTTGCTTTTAACATTACTTTAATAACTTGTTCCCTGTTTTAACTTACAGATAGCCTTCACAATGCACTAACCACAACTCATTCAAAAACTTTTGAACTATGCAAGTTAAACTTTGATAAGGTACTCACACCTCATGTTGACTGAGAGCCGAGCGCTGGAGGTAGAGCCGCTGAACACAGAGGGCTGAATGTCTCTCTGTTTGATGGTGGTTTCCCTTTGTTGAAATGAAAGACAGAACTTCCTCACTGACGTCTTTTTTCTCCTCAGTATCATGTGAGAAAACCATAGACTTTAAACTTGCAATTATTGGCACTACAGTGTATTGTTGATTCAAATATGTAGATTATATCAGTTCAAACAGCAATAACATCAATAATTATAATACAACTGTGACATGTGACATCTTCCCATTTTCTTCAGGTTTGGGTTTTCAGGGAAAAAGTTACAAATATACTCAATTATATTAATGTATACTTAATACAATATTTTCTTTAAATCATTTTTGTGTGTAATTTTCAAAAATCAAGTGTGTGTATGTCAAAATGCAACGTTAGCAAAATACATTTTGTATTAAAGGAAATACATGACAAGGGGCAGCTGAGGTGTAAAAGCATGACATGTAAATGGTTCATGTAAATCACTTTCTTTAGAAAAAGACACTGATTGCAAAGACACACACTGCATAGATCATTATCTGGAAGTGCTCAGCAAACATTAACCATCAGCTGCATATTATATTTACAGCTACATTCATATTTTAATTGGAATATTTTTTAAATAACTTATAAATCACACACAAATCAAGGTCTAAAACCCATTGACACACAAGTAAATTGAAGATGAGGCCCTTTTGCACACTTACTCACACGATGCGTACATGCTTCTGCACACCTGTGTCTGCGGTTGTGGTTTCTTGTTTTCACTTGAGGCAGGGCGAACCGCACGATACAGAGGGGGGCAAGTTGCAATGCAGGCGGCATCTTTTACATTGAAACTACAGCACTGTCAAATCTGATCTTAACACCATTTTATAAGAGGAAAAACCAAAGATAACACATGAAGAAAGTATCAACCTCATGGATGGTTTAAGTTTAGGAAAACATGCTGGATCACATCACAAGCACGAGGAGATTGGTTCTGTAGTGAAAACAGGAAATCGGAACCATTCCCTCTCATTTTACCCACTTCCCTTACCTATATGTGCAGGGGACAAATAGCTATATGCAAGCACACTTTGTAGGTGTTTGTTACAGACCTCTGCAACACTGACTGCTTCAAGTAATGTTATCAAAGAAAATAGTTTTAAAGTCTACTATTTAAAGGGCCCATGACATGCTTTCCCGGTTCTTACCCGTTCCCTTGTGTGTTATGAAGGTTTTTCTGCATGTAAACGGTCTGCAGAGTCACAAACCCTCAAAGTACACCCTGTAGCGAGTAAAACTCTAACACAGAAAAGACCTGTCTATGCTGCCCCAGAACGCCTCGTTGGACATTTCTCATTGTCCAAATGGACCAATCCGCGGAGCACCTCACACACCAGGATCCTTTGGCTAACTAACAGGGAGTCCCCATTGACTTGCATAGAGCTCCCTGAACGCTGGTAATAGACGAGTTGTGATGGCGGAGAAATGCTCTCCACAGACCCATTCTCACAGCGTTATAAACCTTTTTCTTACTCAATATCAAGCCACACTTATTGTTTTTACTTCGGCTGTGAGTGTTTGTGTGTGCTCAGGATGAGTTTCGCTTGTTCTCGCTGTATCGCCGACCCGGAAACCTGTCCGCTCCTCGCAGCAACGAGCCTTGCAACATCCCGACCAATCAGAGCACACTGGGCTCATAGGTAGGGGGGGGGCAAGAGCTCCAACAAGCCGTTTAGGACAGAGAGTGAATACACATGCTATACAGAGGTGCTGTATGAGAAACCAATGTGAGTTTGGAAAATTGCACAATTTAAATATATTCTAGTAGACCTCAACAATGAAAATATGATCAGTAGAAATGGCCATGACATGGAACCTTTAAAGTATAAATGTCACCTTGCATACATTTATTTTGTCATAACAATCAATTGAGAGCTTGTTCAGGGTAGAAAAGTTTATTGGTATAAATATGCAAAAAGAAATTCATTTGAAGACTGCATGTTTATGAATGTTCTTCAAGCTGCTTCACAACATGGAAAGTTCAAGCAAACCTCGTTACACGGTGTACACAATTACGGTACATTTAAAAGCTTTTCGGCGGAAAATAGCAAATTTGATCATAACACAGAAATGTTCTAAGCGTACTGCTTTGATTTGATTGACAGCTAGCAAACTTGAGAACACAGTTGGTCGAGCATTGTACAGCATTGATGATCGTGTTGACAACAAATACATAAGTATGATACAAAATGATGACAAAAATACTTATTACTAATGAATACAAACTCCTGAGACAATACTGTCACTGTAATACTGATACAAAGACTAAACAAATATTCTCCAGCTTCACAAGTTTGCTGACTTGATTTTTTTTAAATAGCAACATGCAAAAATAACAATAATAGCAACAAGGTCACTACAATACAAAGGACAAAGTTAAATATAACACTGAACAATGTTTGTTTCATGTGACAGGCTTCTCTTTCTAATAGCCTGTCTTCCCCTGCCAGACCTAGTGCTGGAGATATGTATCCATATGTGCTGAAGAGGGCCTGTATGGGTTCTTCCAAATGGCCAGAAGCCTGTGGAGGAAAGGTAGTGCTTTCACGTGGCACACTTACTGTAGCAGCCATTGATCATTTCTTTTGGACAGGGTCATTGCATTGTCAGCTCCAAGTGCTTTATATTCATCGCATGTCTGGGAGCCTTTGTGTTTTCAAACTCGGCTAAAACATCATCTTTGCCTCAAGCTTTTGAAACATGTGGATGTTCTTCATATGCTTTGACAAACTGAGATGATACTGTGTAATATATATATGATCAGAGGGTGAAACAGTTAGGTGTTGGACAGAGCTGCTCTCGCCCTGCTGGGCCCCTCTGATGGCTCACTGGGCTGGGCCTCTTCTGTCTGAGCAGAGGTGGTCTCTGAGCCCGTGTTACTGTCGCTGGACCCCTCCTCCATGGCTCCCTCTGGGACACTCTCCTTGTCCTCCGATGCCACCTCCTCGCTGCCTGGATGAGCCTCAACCTCTTCAGAGGATTTTGGCTTCCCTGAGTCAAGGAAACAAGAACATTAGGTTACAGGGGACCTAAGCCTTTATTGTAATTTCGTTGTACTTGTACAATGACAAATCAAAGATCTTATCTTATCTTATTCAACATTCATTATTCTTGAGGTCCAGTACTGTCCAAAAATACAAGTCTCTTTCTAAAATCAAAAGACTAGATTGCTAAATATCAAATGTGTGATGTCATCTTGTCTGGAATTGCTCAGGAAACAATGAATTGGAGAAGACACACTTTCAGTTTGGGAACTGAAGACACTCCAATAGAATAAAGCTTACTTGCGATGAAGAAGGAAATGACAGAATCCGTCTCCCATCAGTGCCTATAGTGCGCCTCTAAACTTTTTATTGATGAAAAGTTGGAAACTTAAGTCTCTGGTGTCTGGCTTTAAAAGCTCTAATACTGGAATTCTTAATTAAGGTGGATCAACATGACGGCCAGATAGCTCACCTTGTGTCTCTGTGCTGCTGGTTTCTGCTCCCTCGCCTTCTGTGTTGCGCCCTTCACTCAGAGGGTTTTTGGGCTTGCTGCCGTGTGTGGCACATACGTGTTTATCTTCTTCTGCTAAGACACAGCTGGGGGCCTCCCGTGCACCTCGGTCTCCTGCATCCTTCTCACGGTCTGCCATGCGTTTGCAGGCTGCCTCTTCTGCTGCTGAAATCTCTGTAGAAATCTTCTCCATGTCCACTTCCACCTTCATACAGCACAGCTTTAAAGCACAGCAACCGGGGAGTTCATTACATGTAGAATGGTGAAAGCAATTGCTGCACTCCTGAGCATTTATATATGTGTTATTTGGAATAATGTTTTTTGATACTTACAAAATTATAGATTAAACTTATATGGGCAAGTTTGAAAAACAATCAAACTTACGTATGTAACTAATGAGTTCTATAACCAGAGGTGGGAGAAGTACTCAGATCTTGTACTTAAGCAAAAGTAGAAGTACCAGAGTGTAGGAATACTCTGTTACAAGTAAAAGCCCTGCAATAAAAATGTTACTGAAGTAAGAGTACAAAAGTATTATCATCAAAATCTAGTTAAAGTAGCGACAGTAAAAGTAGTGATTGTGCAGATTGGTCCATTTCAGAATAATATATATGATATGTTTTATAATGATTGATCATGAAATTGTTCTCAAAGCTGGTAAAGGTGCAGCTAGTTTGAATGACTTTGTATACTGCAGGGTTGCTTGTGAATTTACTCCAGGTGGAACTAAAGTCTGAATTAACACTTGATTATATTTCAAATCATTCATCCAGATCAGTAAAGTAACTAAAGTAAATAAATACATCTAGTGGAGTAAACGTACACCATTTACCTCTGAACTGTAGCGGAGTAGAAGTACAAATAGCAAAAAATGCAAATACTCAAGTAAAGTACAAGTCTCTCAAAATTGTACTTAAGTACAGTACTTGAGTAAATGCACTTAGTTACTTTAATAAAGGTTATCAAATGTCTTCTCACTGCTCTTCTGCTGTAAGTGTAAAGGCTAAATGGCGCCGCCTCCTGTGAGCAATTGACAGTGCATTTAACTGCACCGTGCTGCATCTCATTTCAAAACAACGGTTATTATGGGGCCACAAATTGTAAACGATGACAGCTATATGATTGCCAGAACATGTGGATGGAGTTAGCAGCAGCTGGTGGCTTAAGGCAGATGTAGACTGGCACACAACCAGAGCTGCAGTTAAACAAATGAGCTTGCGTGCGAGTAAGCGATGACCAAATTCAATGTGAAAAGATGCCGTACCCTTTTCAGCTCATTTGTGAACGACTCTGTGGCCTCGATGAATTTTCTTTTCTTGTCCTGGTGGCGGTCTTCGATCTGAAGCAACTCTGCCTCCAACTTTCTCTGACACGAAACACACAGGCACCGCGGTTATAACATTATTAAGCCCCAACTAACAATTACGTGAAGTATAGAAGACCTCATCATACCTGGTGTACCATCAAAGACTGGACCTGCCGTTTGAGGACTTGCATGCGAGCAGTGGTCACAACTGAGCGCACATCAGGGACCACGCTCTCACTGAGGATCTCGCTGATCAGACGGTGGTTGCGTTGGAAACGAGCTGCAGCCGAGTGCTTTGTAGAGAACCCGTCGTCGTAATCTGAAGACATAAAAAAATAAATCAGCGTTTATTGTCTTTCATACACCTGTGAGAGACTACAGCAACACCATACACATGAAAATGATGCATACACTGCTATATCAGCGGAGTATGAACATGAGAGAGATACTGCTCAATATTTATGCAGAGTTAGAGTTAAGTACAGTCCATTATGTCAAAATAAATCCTTAAGGAAAGCAGAACCGTTATTGTAAGGTGAATGGGACAAGCCGTTAATTATGACGTAGAGTAGATTCAACTTGAGGGTAAGTGGACAATTTCAAGATGTAATCTGCTATTTTCATTCGTCCGCAAATGTTACTCTTTGCCTTAAAAGTATACTTTGCCGCCATTTAAATACGGGATGATTTTTTGCAAATGGATTAGATGCTAACAGTGATTAGTTCTGCCTCAATAACTGACTTTATTTGTTTAACAATCCCTTTGTTTCTGCTCTGTTACGATGTATGGAGAGAATTGTGTCCGTATACAGTTCTCCTCAGGTCTGTTCAGAGATGTCAAAAGAATTCAGCACCCAATCCAGCAGAACACTATATGGAAAACAATACAAATATCATTTGTGCTTCAATTCAAAACAAGTTATGTAAATGACAGGGAATGTTGTTATGGAAGTTGTTTTAGTATATATGTTATGGACGATCTACAAGAACATGAACGTTCCAGCAATTGAAATTTGATAGCACATCAACAGACCAAATGAGTGAATCTTATCCATCTAAATCTCTACTTTAGACACTACTATAATAGCTGTATTTAGAAATATATTTTATTTAAATGACACGAGTTGTTTCTCAATCTGCAAATTTATTTACTGGTTGCTTCCCTTTTTTAAATGTGCACTTTCTACCAGTTAACACTATCATACGCCAGGCACTCCTTTTGGGCTTTGATGTGGCAAAACTTTGCTTCGCTTCCATCACCTGAACCCCTTGCTGCTGTGCACCCATGTGTGCACCCTGGAAACTTAAGTGCAGAGTTGAACGTTTCAAAGGTGCTCATGCAGCTGGTATGTCACCACCACAACAGGAAACAGTCAGGGGAGGTAATACATTCTAAAGCTTCATTTATGGTCACAGATTCAGGATAATTGAATCTGCTAATGTGTGGATATTTCACATTCTTTAACAATGTAATCTACATGCTTAATGTTGTAAATGTTAAGTGTTCGGCAAATATTTGTAATTTAGTCTGGCTGGTTAGTACTACTGAGTGAAAAATAATATATGGCAGCAGCTTCGAGTGGAACTTATTTAAGACAGTATTTATTAATAAAGTACAATCTGTAAGGTTATGCAGCCACCCGGAGAGCTAAATCTTATTTAATCATTGACGTACGTGCAGTCTGTCGAGAACCCAACCCAGTGGGAGACCGACTCTGACATTTTTATGGTCTGGGTGTTTCTAAATAGCACTTGGTTTTATCTGTAGTTTTCCTGTACATCATTATCTTCCACTGTAACCCAGCCAGACCCCAGACAAGTATCATTTCCTTGAGGTGGGTGTAACTCAAACGTCTTCTTCTGGCTTGTGTGCCTAACATGTGTGTGTGAGTTTTTAAAACAACAGAGAAAAGAATGTACATTTTGCGATTATGTCTAAACCAATGCCAGGAATACCTACAATATGTAAACAGTTGGGAAAAACAAAGACACATTTTCCTTCATTTTGCAGATGAACAGCAGAAATTACATTTCAAATGGTAGCATAACCAGAAATCTTGGTTGTAGCAGAGTTGGAGGGGTTGGGGTAAGGGGAGATAATACAGTCTCTGGGTGTATGAACTGGCAACTCTGTGTCGGTCGAGCTACAGTGATCACAGCTCTGTCACAGTGCTTTAAATTGGGAACAAAGCATTTAGTTGAGAGGCCTCACCATCTGGATCCTCCGCTGGCTGGATGCTCATGTACGGCTCGCCCTTGTCCAGCCTGGACTGCCTCTGTCGGCTCTCCTCCTCCTGAGCTGCCTCGGCCCGGCTCTTTGCAGTGACGTAGGCCAGGTAGGCTGGCGAGTTGTGATAGGCCTTCATACTCTCATTGTACTCAATCTACGGTGGAAAAAAGAACAAGAATGACGAGGAAACAGAGATGGCAAGCAGACACGGACCCCTCGTTTAATAATAATGATCAGATAAAAGGAATATAAAAGACCCATAAGTCTTATTTTCGTGAAGGTTCCTTAATTTTAAATCAACTGACAAAGTTAACATGGCACAATGATTGACAGTAGTCCTCTATAGAAGATAAAACATATCTTTATTTACCGCTTTTGAAATGCTTTCGTTCATTTGAAAGATTTCAAATACTACATTAAACATTGCATTTCTGGGATTTTAGGAAATGTGGGCTTAGCCCTTACATCTGTCAGTGGTATCTTGTTTAAATATACAAGTTCTTTAAGTCTATTGAAATGCTTTTTTATTGTAAGCTGGCTCCTTATTTCAATGACAAAATACAAGAATGTCAGCAGGCCACATTGACATGCGGGCCATTAATACAAAATACTGTTAAAAGGAAAGGAATGGTGACAGGAGGGAACCACAACAGTATGGAGTCATGTGGAGATACATCTACTGGTCTACATTTACCGCCCATCAGAATCAAAACCCAAAGACACCCCTTGTAAAACAACCAACCTTCTCTGCTTCGTAGTCATTCAAATAATCCTGTTTCTCCTCATCAGTGAGGTCCCTCCACATGCCACCGATTATCTTCCCAATTTCCCATAGCTTCAGATCAGGATTGGAGGCTTTTACTTGATCCCAAACCTGGTGATGAGAACCACACATGGGTGTGGGGTTGGGTTGGAGGTTCTTTAGGTGGGTATCTCTTAGCAGAGAGGTCACAAACCAGAGGAGGCCGTGTGCTTTGACAAAGATGCTCTCAGTAAAACCAGCGCATTACAAGAAACAGTTTGACTAATATTAACACTCTGTGTGCCCATTAGTCCGAGTTTCATTTTAGTGTCATAATGTTTTTAAATTAAATGTTTTAGTTAAATGCCTTGTAAAAAATGGGTGCAATTTTTACATTGGTTACTATGTGGCAAATAATCGGTCAATAATATGTGCTCAAGCCACCAATTTCACACTGTGTACTTACCTTACGACTATATCTCATATATGGCATCAATGGCTTATCAGGCGGCTTGGGTGGCTTTGGGATATTTATTCCAGAGGAGTTCTGCTGTAGAAAGAAAAAGAATCACACCAAGGCATGGTGACTGTAGCCTTATCTGGCAACCACTTAAACACAGTTGCTAGGCTGAAAACAGGTTATGATGCTGGTGCATGGTAGGGATTGGAATTTGAAAGCAAATGTATATTTGACCCCGAAAAAAACGGTTAACCGAAATGTACATATCCTAAACAAAACAAAAAATAAATAATTTTGAAAAATAAATAAATACATGTTCAAATAAGTAAAGAAACCAAGTCGAATTTGTCAAATGTATTGAACTGGTGATCACAGTTAACAGTTGACAGCTACAGGCCTACAGCTTTCATGCTTAAAACATAACTTGGTTTTTAAATGAAAGAGGGATCATACACGAACAACATAACGGGTTAGGGTAACGTAACCCTATTACAACAGAGATCAACAACCTATAACAGGGCCTATGCACAGAATGCAGCTATTCAATACTCATTCTTGCTTAAGAATATGAGCATGTCTACATGCTCAGGGGAGAGGCGGGTGCGGAGGTGATTCACAATCAGGCCAGCTGTAGAGAAGACGCTCTCAGCTCGAATTTGGGCATTAGATGAGGTTTGAGTCTGCGTGATCTGCGAGTAGGGAGGGGCAGCAGCCATATCATTAGCTAGAACTAGCTAGATCTGATGGCGGAGCAAAACACACCTTTAGACCTAACACACTTAGCTATGGCACTGTCGTATGCATTGAATTATTCCATTTGATAATATGTAATCAACTTAGGCACCCCTCCCAAAAAAAAATTCATAACTCATATTCGAATACCTGAATAATTTTGAATATTCAAATATTCGATTAATCGTTCCCATCCCTAGTGCATTCTTGTGTAATTTGACATAAAACTATATGAAAATTAGAACTTCTAATGCAATTTTAAATAAAATGCATCATTTCGTATCACTTCCATTAAAAGAATAGAATAGTATAGGAACGAGTCATAAAACCCCCAAATAAGTCATTTGACCTCTTCCGTTCCCTCTCCTCAAAGGAAATGGTTGTTTGTGATTTTAGGTAGAGGCCTGAAAAAAGGTCTGTAATACTATTTTGTTTTTGAGTTTTTATTTTCATTTATTTGGATTATTATCTTTATTTTTACTTATTGTTTGTTATTGAGTTTGCAACTTTTGGATCACTTAATAGAATGATTTGACAAATTAATCAAAATGTTATATCATTACTATGTGAATCCAAAAAAAGATATTTAAAAAAGATAAAAGCTTAAAAATACAAACTTATGTGGTTAACCCAAGCGTAAGAGGATTTTGTTTCCACAATGTGACGAAGGGAACTCCGTCACTATGGACTGATGGCTTTTGGGCCGGGTGATATAGCACTTTATTAGCGTGATTGCACAGGACAGTTAACATTGTATTGGTATTTGCACATCATTTATACGAATTATTGAATTAGTATTTTTTTAACTGATTAAACCGTATTTATTGAAATGTCGTCTGGATGCTGGTATAAGGATGACAGCGGTTGAGTGTAATCAGGGTGCAAATAATATGTTGAATGTCTGTGGGGGGTAATAAATACGGTGGATGTTCGAAACTGTAAGTACCATGCTCCATAAATGAGCTGACTCAAAAAACAACTACACACTTTCGACTTGCAACTCGCCGGCTTGAGTTCGTTGCCTCCGTCGTCCGTCTTGCAGGTTTTTATAGTTGGGCTGGGGCACCCGTAAATTAGAGTTTAGTATGCGGTTCCAAGTGTCGGAGGTTAGAGTAGCGACAAGAGGAAGGAGTACAGACGTGGTGTTCCTAGAGTGTGGTGTGGAGGTCGGGGGTTGTTCTGTGTCGTGAATTTATGTTCTGTGATTTGTCTTGTGTCCCTCCCCGCTCTGTTAATTTTGTGTGCCATCCCCCCTCCTCTGTGGGTCCCGGGTCCACGTGTG